CAGCTCCCATCTGAGCTAGTTCAGTCCAAATTTATTATAAAATATTCTTTTCTTAATTCCGTAATTCACAGTAAGTAATTTTCTAAATTAAAAAAGAAAAGTTAAATGTGGCAAAAATCTACTTTTAGCCATTTACTTTAATAAGTTTATAAGTTTTAACCCTTCACTTTATACCATGATACTTTTAGCCTCATACCTATATGAATTGAAGAAAATAATCCTTCCTCAACATCAAGTTATAATGTTTTGTTAGTTTTATTAGTTTTATTAGCTGATTGTTAGTTTTGTTAATTAATTATTAATTATATTAATTGATTATTAACTCTATTAGTTGACTGTTAACTCTGTTAGCTGACTGTAAGCATTTTGTTAACGGAATTAATAAATAAAATTAAATTTAAATTTCATATTTTCTATAACAGAATACTAACAGTTAGCTAACAGAGTTAACAATTAATTAATATAACATTAAATAAGAACTATTTTCTTCAATTCGTATAAATGAGATGTTAAAAGTGTTATAATATAAAATGAAGGGTTAAAATTTATAAATTTATTAAAATAAATGATTAAAAGTAGATATTTACTATTAAATGTATCATTTTATTTTATAAAGATGCCTTTATGGACCACCGCGGATCTTTGGCAAATTAAAGGTAAAGGGAGAGCTAACAAAAAGAGAACAATAACATTGACTTCACTATTTGTCTGGTTTTGATCTTCGGTACATTTTCATGATTTTTCATAGTAATTAAAAGTTGTAAAATGCTACTATAAAGTTGGGAGATTTCTCCATATCATTCAAATTCTAATCAAAGTCGAGTACAGGTGCAATGTTACGACACTTGATTTGGTTCGACCCTTCCGCCTTTTGCTCTATAGGTCAAGATGAAATGCACTCCTCTTTTTCTTTTACTTTGAGAATAGGGTAAATATTCTCTTATTATAAAAAGAAGGCATGATTATATTCTAACCCTCACTTTACCATTTGATTTGTTTTTTTGTCTTTGAACAAGTACAATTTGGAGTAGGTCCCATTGTCATCGATTGATTAGCAATTTCATGAGTCGAACTATATAAAATAGAGTAATAATGGAATACTTCATTATTGACAAAGGTAATGATTCACGTATCCATTAATTCAACACTTGACAGTGTCATACCTTTTGAAAAATATATTTATAGCCTGCCTAAAAATAGGAGATGAATAGGTTAATCCCGCAACCATTCACTGAGTCATGCTCTATTCTTGGTTCTAAACGTATAGTAACAAGAATCTTGTGTTTTTTTTTTTCTCAACTAACAACCTTAAGGATTGTTGCAACGAGGATGAGGGCGACGATGTGAACTTGCAGAAAAAAAAAAGGGGGGGAAACTTTCGACTAGAAATCCCATCAATTTCAGCCCCAAAAACTCTTTTTTTTGCTACCAAATTTGTAGCTCCAAACTTCATCATTTGCTCTACACTTCTTCTCCTGTCCTATTACCCAAATAAAATTCACTGAAAACATAAAAAATCCAACAAACAAAACTGGAGACAAATGACGGAAAATAAAATTGAAAATAAATAAGATTCAAGAAAGGAGATGAGATAGATATGAGAAAGAAAAGGGAATTCTGAAGAAGTAGATGAGTGGAAACCCTAGTCTAGATTCCTCCTCTGTTGAATGAGGTTGACGCATTACGAAATCAAGAAAAGGAGAAGTGAAGAAGATGACGGTCAAAAAGAAGAAAAGTTGGACGAAGAAGAAAGGGAGGAGATAGCACATGCCATCGACACCAGCTCGACATTGGTGCTATAGGTGAAGGCCAAGGAAGGAATGGAGGAAAAGGGTGATTTATGCTTCATTAGGGTGTTTTTGGGAAAACATGTTTAAATTTCGAATTATTTGAGATAAGTTAAGGATAAGCACAGGGTAAAACATTATTTTTCTCCTATGATCCGTGTGTGTGATAAAAGGGTGTTGGTACAGGGTGTGCAATTATATCAATATTTTTAGGTTTTTGAACATTTAATAGTTTTTTTATTTATCGTCAATTATTTAAAAAATTTAGTGATAATTTTTTTTCGTTAAAAATAAGATATTTTAAATTTAAATCGCATGACATGCGGATAAGGTGGGATCAGAGAGAGGAGAGAATTACCTCTCATTATGTAATTAATATAAAAAAATGTTTTTCTATTTGTCAATGATTTAAATAATTCAATGGTCATTTTTTTTCGTTAAAAATAAGAGATCCTAAATTCATTCGAATGATATAACATGTGAGTGAAATGGGATAAAAAATAAAAGATGATTACCTCTCATTATGTAA